TATTTAGAGATTTATATTGTCCGTCTATTCGGTTATTCGTCACAGCCCTGGTCGGGATGGTGACAGTTAATTAAAGTTTTACTCTGTGGCATCTTATTCTGAAGAGAATCTGTAGCGGGGAGTGACCAAGGGATCTGGCCATAGCCAGTTTAAGCAAGCCATGATCTGGCCTACCCGAAAGACAAGACAGGCATGCAGACAGCTACTGGTACCACTAGAGTTGGGACGCTGCGCTTGCTGCTGGAGAATAAGGGCGATTTGAACACACGGCAGTCAGTTTGCAGCCATTAAACCAAGATGGAAACATCAGAAATAAAAAGGGCAAGAAAAACGCAGTTGACAACAGGATAGGAAATGAGCGGTCTGACTTAAAGGGAAGAAGCATTAAGCCCAGAGACGGAGCAAATACCAGAACTTAAGAGACGAAAGTGGCGCTAACAAACAAGACCGCAAATATAGCCGGAGACTGTTGGCAGCCACGGCTAGCTAGCAGCAGGTTGAACATGGTTGAGTTTTTTAAATTTTTTCTTGAAAAGAATAAAAATTGTATACTGTATGTGTCAGAGCTAGGGAACAAAAATCGTTGATATTTCGTTAACTGCCATAGAACTGAACATACATGTCGTAATTGGCTCACATCTCATGTTGGGAAGAGTGGAGACATGCTGCCTACAGAGTGGCAAGTATCGCTTCAGAGGCCGCGTGTAGTTAGCGTCCATTGGATATTCTCCAGGCCATTCCACTGTGTGTGTGTGTCTGTGGGGGGGGGGGGGTGGGGGGGGGGTTGGGGGTGGGGGAATACGAACAGACATACATATTGGCCTGGTTCTGCAACACGTGGTGTTAAACCGATGCATGGCAAGCTACCTGTCATCAATGTCTTTTGGCAGCGAGTAAACAGTACAGACGCGTGAATCGAGCATCATGGTCTGAAGAGACATGCAGCGAGAAGACCAGGCGGTCGGCAAACACTCAACACTTAGGGGAGCGGCGGGACGGACAAACATGCAGACTGTTACTGGTACCGTCGGACTTGGAACTCTGCGCTTGCTGCTGAAGATGGGGACGGAGCGCTTATGTGAAATCCCAAGTGCTATGCTGTCGATTGTTATGTTAACCCATAACGCCAGAGCCGCGTACTGGTTAGAAAACGGCAACTGCTATAGGATGTCATTTATGAAGCAACGGGCTAGCAAATCTGTGTTTCTTCAACAAAGCCACCGTATCTCGAATTTTACTGTTACAGTTTATAAAAACAAGAACTCACGAAGTAAAGGTTGCAGAACAAAACACTTGATAAACACATGTTGACCAGGGCTGAAGAGAAATGTCTGGACTTGTTTACGTGACTCACTTCCATTTCTCACGCGTTGTTGCATCGCAGTTCAGGCTGGGATAATTTGGCATTGAATCACAGCGCCCACTGGTGGTGGCGGTGAGATGTTGTTATATCGTCTTTTTTTTTTTTTTTGCTGCAAGGGGCGTTAACAAGGCCATTGTGTGTTGAGAGCTATGAACACACAGAAGTCCGCTTCTAAATGTTTATTGATAGGCTGTGTGTACTACTTGTCCTGTCTGTCTGTATGAGGACCGGATTAAGACTCTTTGATACCCTAAGCACTAAAAGATTGTGCCCCCCCCCTTTTTCCACCAGCAATCTTAACAACATTATGGGTCCCTGAGCAAACGTGTGTGCTGGGGCCCCCTATAACAGCCACTGACATGAATAAAATGTAAATGGTCACTTTATCATTGTCATGTTGCGCCATTATATGTCACATAGGGCTCGCAGTCGATTCCTCCATTCCCTTCTATCCTGTGCAATCAATTCAATATAATGGACGGAATCCAGTCCAGCAACTTTGACCTCTCTCATCAGCGTTCGTTTTAGAGTTTCTTTTAGGCGTCCTCGCCTCCTCAATCCCTTTACATTTCATTGATGTTCAGTGATTATCCGCTCGTTTCTTTTTTTTTACTTTGTGTCCAGTATATCGCCATCTTCTATGTCTTAAAACTGTTGATACTGGTGGTTGCCTAGACACTTCTCTGACTTCCTTACCCGTTTTCCATCTCATTTTATGTTCACTATTTTCCTCAGACATTTCTATTGGAATTTATTAGCCTTTAGTTCCATGTCTTTAGTGTTTCTTCGGCTTTCAGTGGCATATATTAAGGTTTGATCAACGGATCAACATCATGGCATACGGGTGTTGCTCCGTTCTTCTAACTCGAGTCTGAGTCCGAAGAAGCTCATCATAGTGCACCGGCGAGGATCTTGAAATACTTTAGGTAGATTTTTAACTCCAAATATTGCCCGGGCAGCGCAGTTATGCTACTCTTTTATATTTCCAACTGCCTAGGGATTTTTTACGTGAACAACAATGCACACGGGCATCCGATCTCACTACCCATAGACCAGGGGGAATTACTAAGAGTCCGAATCCACATAAAAAAAAAATCCCAGCTCTTACCGGGGATTGAACCCGGAAACTCTAGCAATCTATAAAAAAACTGAAATAAAATTATAATTAAAAATACGAATATTAACTGGGAACAAATAAAGGAAATAATTTTGTTTTCAAAGGGTAACACACTGGGCACGCAGACCCATCTTACATTCGAACGTTCCAAACATTCAACTTTCAGATCGCAGCAGCACTTTAACAATACAGCATGTTATGTTTATATAACTGCTCGTACGAGTAATAACCTATATAGTTTGTCATGTCCGGTCACTCTTTCTGAGTTCCTTTTAAAAGTTTCGTTTCTACTTTAGATTTCGCTCTTAAAAGGCCATTTGTCACTGTGTATTGTGGTTTACAGCTAGTTTTCGGTATATGTGCTTTTAGGCCCAACACATCCGATCTTTATCTAACCCATAATTAGTAGCTTTTTTTACGGCATGATATTTAATATAGGGCAGTTGGTCCCACCCCCACCCCTTAATGGGGCTATGGAACCCATAGAGTATTTCCTTTTATATTGCTATATTCGGTGAGATATTTTCTGTTTACAACCATCTAACCTGTATTATTCATTTATTTAACCCCCACCCCGCCGGTACTTGTTGATCTATGTTTAAGCTGCTACCACCTGTTGCCTTTTAAATACGACCTGTCGCCAGTAAGACACGGCGGAAATTACGGGAAATTGCGCCTCACACACAAAGATGATAATTTATTGGCGGTTCCTTTGTGATGATCGGTTTTAATCAAGAAAGGTCATCCCACAGAGGCCGTTGAGACAGTTGATAATGCGCCTGCCTGAAATGTTAGGAGAAACGTCACCCAGATGAAAGAAGAATCTGCGCAGAAAACAGGCTGGCCTGACCCCGATGGCCGTCTGAGGTCTTTGTTTTATCAGACTGTGATTAAACCTTGTCTCTCGGCTACTTCCATTAGGTCACCTCTTCTCCTAGTTAATTGTCAGTCATTCAAAACCGTCTCCATGGCAGACTCGTCCGTTTTGTCTTTTAAAAACAAGATTCGAGACTTGCTTTTAGGAAAAGGTTTAGCCTACAAATAAGTCGGAAGCTGCATGGTCTCGAGGCATGGCGTCCGTCTCAAGTGGTGGAGGTCCTGGGTTCAAGCCCCGGTAAAGGCTGGGATTTTTTCAGTTGGACTTCTAGTATTTTCTCTGGTCCCCGGTAGTAAGATCAGACGCCTGTGTGTATTGTTGCGCACGTAAAAAAATCCCAGTTGGAGATTTAAAAAAAGTCGGTTAACGGCACATTTGGGGTTGAAAATCTACCCAAAGTATTTCAGGAACCTCGCCGGTGCTACAGAGTTCGTGCACTGCGCTGAGATTCTTTGGACTCGGGGATTTGAGTTAGAAGTAGAACGGAGGACTTATGGGTTACTCCCCTTGTGCCATGATGTTGATCCTTCGTCTAAACCTAAACCTACAAAAAGTGTTTGCCCCTGTAGCCGATTTGTGGCTTATTCCAAATGCAACACACTTTTTTCTTCTTCCAAAAATGTGCAATTCTTAAGAGCAAAGTCGGTAAATATACATAATTTAGGCTTTTCTGTTGATTTTGGCTAGTATTATTTAAAAAATAAAAATAATCTGCGTAGCAATAAATCCGTGGTCTCCAGCATGTGGGACTCACGCCCGAGGGGGGCGAAGGAGTTTTCAGAGGGGGTGTCTTCCAGTTGTGAAAATGAGTGCCTTTGTACCTGTAGTAATACGTAATAGATTTTGTTTTAATTTAATTATAAATACAATATAAAAAAAAATATTCATAATATTAACATGGGCATTTTTGTTTTCATGAGCAGTTTGTATATCTACCGTTACAAATAGAATAATATAAATAACATGCGCATTTTATTATAGACTAAGAACACGTTCTGACCAAAGCATATCTCCGTGCATTATGTTTTGCTTGTTATGAAATCTCCTGTCCTCCTTGTAATCACATTGTTTTGTTAGGGGAAGGACGTCGGGGTGGGGGTAAGCCATATGCTTAAAAGAGGGAAGGGGAGTTGTGTTATATACCCAACAGGGGCGCGACCCGAAAAGTGCTAGAGACCACTAGACTAAAGAATATGGAAAGTCATATCACTTCCTGTTCCTGTCTCCAGCTTTAGAGCTTGTCTGCCGATGTCGGCATGAAACAAGAGTATTTTAACCTGGTTCTTTTCTTCTTCTTTCTCCTAGCTGGTGTTTAGCCCTTTTAATAAATGTTGAGCTGCAACCCTGCTCCACAGTGAAAATTCACTGTAGTGGTTCTCCAAGACTAACTTTAACTTTGGCTGTATACTCTTTTACACTTCTCTTTGTCTATCTGTTAGTTTTGCCTCCAACCCCCATCCCCAATCGTATCGCTGTCTACATCTTGCTTTATTGCCTTCAGCTTGCCCTCCACTATGGTTTTTAAAAGTTGTGTGTCTCTAAATGTGTCCGACATAAGTCACTTGTCTCTCTGATTTATTTTAGTTTCAAGTTAATGTTTGCCGGGCCACTAATTTCCCGAATGTGTTGTTTCTGTTTTCCAGGAAGGATTTCTGGAGTTCTACGATGGCGGAGCAGAGTCCAGAAAAAACAACCCCTGGCCATCGTTTAAGACCATTTGTGGATACGCTGCTGCAGGACTTGGCGTTCTCACACTGGGCGCTTTTCTGGCGCAGAAGTCTTAATATATTGGGTATCAATTATAGTGATAACTTATGAACGAAATCAGCTGCATTACACTCACCTCAGTATCACTGTTTTATTTCTGGAGAACTGAGGTTAAGAGAAATGTGAGGTTAAGACATCGCTCTATATAACTAAGTGGTTGAGAAATTCTATTTCAGTGAGTGGGCGAGTGGATGAAATGTTAAATTCATTCAGTAAATGGATGAGATGATGTACTGTTTGTTTATCACCTCTATACAGAAACCTGCCACTTATGAGTGGAAACCTGCAATGTTTATGAGGAGTATATGCTGTCCAATGTTTTGTAGAAAATGAGAACAAATGTAGACAGTAAACCTGTAGACAGGCATTGATGTGATTTGTGTCTGTTGCTGCGTTAGCTCAATCGATACCAGACAACGTTGCAAATGTTCCTTATTTGCTTTGGGGACATACATCTGTTAACTCAGTTTTCCATGGACGGCTGTCACCTGCAGTCGTAGATATTTGGGTCAACTATGAGTTATTAAAATACTTGTCCTTGGCAGAGAATAGATCATTAACAGGGGTCCAGAACTGGAGTAGTCATACTCATAATCATTGAATCTCACTGTATGTTGAATGGTCATTATCTGCTTTGATTGATGACCAACAGCAGTTTGACCGACTTACTAAAACTTTGGGGGGAGTCCCCGTGGCTGAGCGACTAGACGCTCTCTGCGGATCGGAAAGTCGTGGGTTTGCTCCCGGGCAGAGCTGGACTTTTTTCTCTTCAAAAATGACCTTGACTCCCAGGTCGACCCAGTCTTGAGTGGATGCCGGGTGCAGTCCCGGGAAGTCAAGGCAACTGGCGTAATGCTGACCACATCACCCATCTTGTACCGATTTGGTCTATAAAGATACAGGTCCAGCCCTATATGCCTAAAAGGCGTGGAAAAGGGTCCTTTACTTTACTTTATTAGACCATTGAGTGTTAATGTGTAAAACTCTAAGGGACAGAAAGAGTTCACTTGTTATGTGTTGTAATTGTGGACAAACTAACATCTGCTTGAGAGAACAGTCAGCATAGAAAACACTTCCATTTCTGCTGCATGAAGACCAAGTACACTTCTAGGATTTTTGATTGGATTGTTTTTTTATGACAGCAACTGCAGCTACAGAGTACAGCCTCAGGTAATAATGTTGGGTGTGGCCAGCCGTTCTGCAAAGAGAGACCAAGCCATATCATATTTTCAGCAACAACAACAAAAAACCCAGCACAATGAAGACAACCCGCTTGCCTTTAAAACACCCTGAAAACAGTCACGGGCATAGATGAAAACCTAACGTTTGTGTGATTTCTGAAGAAATCTTCGCTTAGCTTCACACAATATGTTCTATAGAAATGAGGTTTGATGTGCAGAAATGTACCACAGTGTCCATTCTGGCAACATCTAACGATATTTGTGTCTAATAGTAATTAGGCAGTTTAGAAATCCAATACAGAAAGATGAATATCACAAGTGTAAACAGAGTAATGAAACACCTTGCTAGAAAAGAGTCATCATCATCATTATCATCTTGTCTGTCGTTAGAGATACACCACAAAGGGCTGGTAGTCTGGTGCACATACCATTCTACACAGTGGAATCGTTTTGATATATTTAGTTGAATCCAGTCCATCATCTTTGGCCTCTATTAAAAATGTTCATCTTAGAGTTTCTCTTTGACATCCTCGTTTCCTCAATTCATTTGTTTCCCATTTCAGAGATGAGAGTGCAGCAGTTGAAATTTAAATTTATTTATTCATGCTCTGTATTTACAGTATCATGGCTGTTTAGTCAAATAATTATAGTTACTTATTTATCTTTGCCTAATAAATCACCAGGAGTCGCCGTGGCAGAGCGGATAGACGCTCGCCGTGGATCGGAAGGTCGTGGGTTCGTTCCCTGGCTGAGCCGGACTTTTAAAAAAAAATGACTTTGGCTCCCAGTTCGACCCAGCCTTGAGTGGGTACCGGGTGCAGTCCCGGGAAGTAGAGGCGGCCGGTGTCATACTGACTACATCACTATCTGGTGCCGATTGGTCTATAAAATATAAGTCTAGCCCTATATGCCCTATAAGCCTAAAGGCATGGAAACGGGTCCTTTACTTACTTACTTTTAATAAATCACCATATTACGTTCTGTTTCATAGAATATTTGGATGCTATGAATGAAACATTGTTAACACTTACAAGCACTGGCAAATGTCTGACCAGTTTTTATGTTAAAAGAGTTTTGTGTGTGCATGACCTGGCTTATTAGTGGCCACATAATACATAATATATGTAGTAAGTTAGATCAGAGGTTAAATTCAACTGCAGTCTTGTTTTGCAATCATGGATGCTGTAGTGGATTTATCTTTAGTCCAGCCTGGCAGAAACCATTATTTCCTTCAGGTTTCCTGGACAGACAGGGTTTTTTATTATTATCCTACCCCCAGATGACATCATAGGACAGTTTAACATTTTAGAGGGTGGTAAGACTGGGTTTCCCGACTTTCTGATGCTTTTAACATCTAGAACTGGCCCTAGTCTCAACCCACCTACATCCCACGAGAGAGTGCAGCCTAGGTCCCACGACTGCATGCAGCCTATCTACCACCCCCTGAAATATTAGACTGCCCCATGACCTGTGGATTTCCCCTGTTTGGGGTAGGATATAAATATAGTTCCGACAGACAGTTACAAGAATCTCAGCTCATTGTGTGGAACACAAAATACAGGTGATTGTCATGTACAGCAGATATAAGACATTCACTTTTCTAATGCTGTGGTGATTTTATGTTCTATGAGAATTATGAATAGAACATTCGTTAGCGCCAATGAAGATGTAAATGTCAAACTGCCTAAAGGCAGATTTTTTCTCAACAAAAACATTTTTTTAAAGCTCTTTTTTGTTTTTGCTGAAAACTGAAACAGTTTCAATGTCAACCATCATCATCATGTCATCATATTTTATGCTGATATGCATGGACTCATTTTCTTCGCCTTTTCATGTGATGGCCAATACTGATTTGGTTAGTGTTTTAGTCTCACTTAAACCTTATAGGCCATAAAGCATATTTTTTGCCTAAATATTAAGCAAGTTCATTTGCGATATTGATGCATTATTTAAAAAAAAACATGCACACAAGACTGGGTTTTAGCAATGTTTGTTAACTAGATTTTTACTGTAATAAAGATCAAAAATCACAAAGGAATGGTTTGGTAACTATGTTTTATTCTTTGTGTTTTAATAATTTTTTAAGCTCTAATAATGCTTTATATCAGCAGTTAGTGTACACTGCTGGCTGTGTTAGAGATGCCAGGTGAGAGAAAAATCATTTCTCTGTGAATCCTAATTGTCCTTTCTGCCTAACTGTCCTTTCTGTTTCTGATGATCACTTACAAATGGCTAAGATGGTTCATAGAAGTGTTTTCTTGGCAGTAGTCTATTTGCCTGATTGACTTCTGATTTGATCCCAAGCAGTTGCATAAAAATCACATCCTCTAAAGGAATCTCATAAAATAGACAATCACATCCTCTCCAAATATTTCATTAAAAAAAATATGCCCAAGAAATCTCATAAAGTAGAAAATCAGATACTCCCACAAAATCTCATAAAATAGAAAATAACATATTCCCAAGAAGTATAATTAGGTTAAGCATTTGTTTTGTTTATAAAAAATATAGCACATCAGGTTTATTTATGTGTATTAGTTGTGTGTGTGTGTGTGTGTGTGTGTGTGTGTGTGTGTGTGTGTGTGTGTGTGTGTGTGTGTGTATATATATGTGTGTGTGTGTGTAGGTATATATGCATTCTTGTAGGTGCATACTTAATAAAAAAAACAATACATAGACAGACACACATGCATGCAAGCACGCGCGCGCACGCACACACACACACACACACACACATTGAGAGAGATATATAAAATGCTGTCTCCTGGATTATTACTGCTCTCATTTTTATACTAGGAATTATGTTGGTTGATCATATTACGCTGCAACTAGCAGGCCTAGTAATTATGTTGGTTGATCATATTACGCTGCAACTAGCAGGCCTAGTAATTCATCCTAACATGTTACAGGTTATGGAACATCTGACCTTTTCTAGCACTGTGCATTTCAAACTTAATCTGTCCATAAAAAATTTACTTTTCAAAACATGGTGACTGAACATGGGCCAAATTTCCAACTGATACAAATGGCTAGCTATACAGCTTTCATTCTTTGTTAAAAAATATATTTAAAACAGTTAATTGAATGATTACAAACTGCATGAACACATCACATTCAGAGGTTTTTTTTAAATCTTCAAATTTGTTTTTAAAAAAATATATAATCAATCATCCTGTCTGTACCCATACAGATGGTACATACATTTGGCTACCAGGGCACATCTAAGAAGAACTATTTTTTGGCCACTTTTATGTTACCAGTGTCAAACACACAGACCATTACTAAAACCTTTAAGCACAAAATCATAACATCAGAGATATATTTCTTTGAGAGGCTGCAGAAGTAACAAGAAGACATACATTTAAAAATGAAACAATCAGGGGAACAAAAGTTAGGACTTAAACCATTCATACAGTTAATTAACTCTTTGAATCCCAGGGGGTTTAGCATCACACGCTCAGGGGGAAGTAAATAAAGTAATAAAATCAGTGCATCATGCGTTTATTGGGCTTCTAGGTAGGAACCTTTTAACGTATGATGCGTTCCTTGGGACTCAAAGAGTTAAAGAGCATGGTTTGGCCACCTGACTGAATTGCCCAGCACCGAATGCCACAGAGAGCCTCAATGAAAAAAATTTTAAGCACACAGATCAAGGGGAAGACAACATAGAACAGGGAATAATGGCATCAAGAACAGTTTCTTTTTTTTTTTATAAACGAAGACTAACTAAAACAGTGCATTGGAAAGACCACACAGAAGATCATTGCATCTCCTCTAACTTTTTGATGAAGTTTACTGAGGAAGTCAAATAGGAAGAAAAAAAAAAGAAGACGTAT